GAAATCCTGCAAACACCTAATGGAAAAGGAAAAATAAGACCATTGCGGGAATCCAGAAAAAAACCAACCCCCCCCCCCCCCCCCCCATGGATGGTCAATGGAAATTCGTAGGGGCTGGGGGGCTTAAGGGTAGAAATTTCCGAAGGTTATAGGGGTGCCCACCAGAAGCATTTTCCACAGGGTTTTAAAAGATGCAATCGATCGCATGAGACATACTTAATATGTGGATTATTTTGATTTGTAGCGCAACAAAAAATAGAAATAGATACCCTTTCGAGAATAAACTTAAAGATGTTTGTCTCAAACGTCTTCTTCTTTGCTGGGAGTTTGCTATCATCTATCTGACAATAAACAGTCACTTCATTTTGGCATGCACTGTGTATGCACAAGAAAAATCAAGATGGCTGACCGTAGCAATTAATACCCAGATCCCCAGGTTCTCGTGCCTACCAGAAAAAAACATGATTCTACAACGGAAGTTCATTCATTCATTCTTTATTTCTCATAGAATTTTAAACGTGCAAAATTAAAGAGCAAGCAAGGACTTTAAAAATATTATGAAAGCTTAAGTTTATTTGTGACCTTCTTTGGGAAAACGTACACTAACAGCCATCTGAGTGTCTTTGCTTGGATGGCTCATTGGCAATAAGTTGCCAGGACAATTTTTACTTTCTGAAGTTCCTTGGTCACAGAGAGAAAAGTTGCCATTCTCACATTATTCACCAGGCTAACCATCAAACTCAGAAAACCATGAACACCTGAAGTGAAATATTTCAGGAATATCTTTTGTGTTGTGACCAATCAACAAAGATCAGGATGTGCAAGCAAGCTACAGAACCACAAACTATTTAATGATGAAAGCTTAAGTGTGAACTAACTGCTCTATTTTTTACATGTATCTAGGCGCACATGCAAAATGGCATTTAAGTATTTAGAATGTTTGCAAAATTTATGCAGTTTATTACAGGTCTTTAATCCCTGATTACAGGGTTCAAAATAAAATCACAGCTTTTAGCCTGAATCTCTAGGCTTTTTTGTTAAGGCGTATTTTTTCCCTGCTGTCAATAATGAATAAGTTTGCTTTTTATGTGTTCAGCAATGGCTGATGATTTCAAATTCTTGTAACCCGTAATGAACACATTTGTTCCTGGTAATTTTGCCGCCTACGGCGTAAAAGAATAAAATTAGTTGTTCGCAATGAACAAGAATCCTCCCTTTCAACTTTTGTAGCACACTTTAAATTTCCAAACCTTTTTCTACTCTTTCAACTCATTTTAAAACGTTGTCAAAAAGTTTTTAAAACATTTCTTTGCTACTTTAATGCCTGATATGCAATGTTTACTACAACATTACAGTAACTTTGATTTCAGTGGGCCAATCAAAGCATGACATTTTCTATTTCTTCAGTGAAAAGTCACTGGCAAATGTGGTGAAAGTGCAGGCTACCGCTGGCCGCCAGCAGCTATGCGCTGTATTTTGAACCCTGGATTACTTCTTGTATTGTCTTGTAATGTGCAAAAGAATCACTGGTTTATTTTTCTCTCTACCAGTGGTTCTTTGTCCCAATAAAAGTGTTTAAAACTTGAAGAGGTTGCCAACCGTAGAATTTCAAATGTAAAGACCACCATTTCAACATAAACATTTTTTGTTTGCTCTTAAGATGTTTCCAAGCCAATTGGTAATCGCATCCCCTTATTGTTGGAGTGTGGCCACACCTTTTGTGAGGGTTGCATCACAAAGTTGGCAAGGGTACAGAAAACACAGGTGTCATGCCCTGAATGCACTTACAACACCCCCCTGAAAACGGAGGGAGAAAAGGGGGTCAAGGGTATTCCAGCCAACATCCACTTGTTAGGAGTGATAACCAATACCAAGAGGGCATCATTTCGAAGGTAAGCATTTGTAACTCTCATATTAGAGGGATTTTTGTATGGCCTTGAAACGTGGTTTCGGTAAGTGTTCGTTATTTGTTTATCAGTCAATGGATGAATAGATCAAAACATGGACTCTTGGTTTTCTTGCCAAAGAAAACCGTAATATGGAGAAAACACAAGTTCGATTGGGCAATCATGTTGCAGAATAATGTCAAAGCAACGTATTGATTCATTTCTTGAAAGGTTTTTGGGCATGAAGTTTTTTCAGTGGAGCGTTCGCTCAGTGGAGCGTTTGCTCCATTTGTATCCATTTGACAAACCAATCAAAGCACTCTATTTCTGTTCATTTGTTGTTTTTGTTTTGTTTGTGCCTTTTCATTTCAAAGTCATACGAAAATCGCTCTATTAGGGCTACTGGAGAAGGTTTTTGAACTTTTAGTCACTGTGACCAAACATATACTGAATCTGGTTAACAATGATTTCATGATGTTGTGAATCACCCTCTTCTTTGCCACCCCGGCCAAACTGCTACACCTACTGGTTCCTAGTGAATATGACTGAAGGAAACCCTTCACCAATACCAAGAGCTCCTTTTATGCAAAATCAGACTGATTGTATGTGCCGAGGTGATATCTTTCATATCCTGTATGTGTTAAGTGAAAACTCAGAATGGCTTTTGTATTTCTCTACATCAGCTTACTCTGACATACTTGACACGCCTGCCTTGATGAAGATCCACCTCAAGAGTGATTAAAACCCCCGGTTGAACAACTGAAAATATCCCTCTTTTCTCAGTCATCACAAGTGCTTCACTTTCAAAATTCCTCTGCATTTACATGTACATATGGTGTAGAGCCTTACTATACTTGTAAATGCAGTGCAATGTTCTTATGATAGCTTTGTGTCAGTTTATTTAAAAAACTAACTGCTTATATATAACAGAGTTATACAGCACTAAGCAGATTCAAAGGGTTTGTCTATCTGCAATTTTCTTTATAATTAAACTACATTTTTTTTTCTACTTTAAATACTTATGGTCTATGGAGTTAAAATGTGAATTTTGCACTTTTAGCAAGAGTGGCTAATTTCCTTGGATAATTTCCATTGGTATTCACTGTTTGCTCCTTTTCTTACAATCTGGTTAGTTGGCTTTGTTTTTTTTAAGTAGCTCAGGTTATAATGTTCGTGAAAATACCAAGAGCCACACGTAAGGAATCACAAATTTTTGTATTAGCTGTTGATCTTTGATCCAGTACATATTTTATTTTTTTGTTTATGTACAAGCTTCTTAAGTTTGCCCCCCCCCCCCTTGCTTTTTTAGGGTCTGGATGAGTGGATCCCTCACTTGCTTCAGGGGCTAAATCTTCCATTGTCCTCGGTTATTTGAAATTCTCTGACAATGCAGTTTTCTCAATTTACAGTGATGTTCAGAGGACAGGGCGTTCAAAGCTGGGAACTAAAGCAGGTCTGCAGAGAGCTATTAATCAGTTTGCGCAGGAGAAGAAGGCTGAAACAGCAAAGAATGATACTGGTAAGTATTTCCAGTATGAATTATTGTTAAATTTGTCTTGGTAGAAGCTGTAGGTAAGCATGTTACAAACCCAGGGCACTTAGCGTGAACCCTCTGCTAATTCCCCCACCCCCTGGGAGGGTTATTTATTTCAAACATGTTTCAGGGGGAGGTGGTACTTCCAGTATGTGAGACCGTATTGAATCAGTCCACATGAAGTTTATCAGTTATGATTAATTAATATAAAAGAGTGTGGGGGCTTTAATAATGGCTTTCTTCCCCATGGAGTTATTAGAGAGGGTGGTGGGGGGGGTGGGGAGGGAGTCTAATGTTGTATACTTGTTTAGCCATATCAAACTTGCTTGTAGCTTTAGTAATAAAGGCATCCTAAAATCTTCCATAGTCAAAGAGTTAGTCAAGATCTCACATCATGCATTGCATTGCATGTACAGTGCACATTGTACCTTTTAACAAAATTATTAAGTTTGACAAACATGTACAGTCTAGATGAAACACAATGTGAGCTTT